ATTTGCTCAAATAAAGAGCGGTGACAGCATCTTTGAGATCAGGATCCTCTTTGGAATAATAGAAAGGCACTATATTCTTAATAGGAACTCCCAGGATGAATGCGTACTGCTCCAATGTAGGAACCAACAGATAATCCGGTAATGTGAAACATCACAATAGAGGATCGTAAAACTGTAGAAGAGTGTAGATGACCTTATACACATATCTAGTAATAGTGTGCACAAAACTCAGAATCTTCCCATAATCCTTCCTAAAATCCTCGAGAATGCTAGAATCTGCTAGAGCGATCAAACCATGAAGAGAAACCAGTTTAAGAGCAGGAAACTTGTACACGATGATCTTCTTTCTACCAGTGTCCATCTCTATAAACCTATGATAACAGGAATCAAAGATAAGATGTAAACCTGAAAATACACAAACATGAATATTAGGATGCAAAATGATTATGCAAATGCAAACATGGGATCAATATTCCTATATGCTCTGAATAGTTGTTGCACTATTGACTGAATAAGTTCAAAATTCTACTTCACCGAGAAAACCGGAAAAACTGTAATACCCAAGATCAAAAGTCCACACTGACAAGAAAACCAGAAAACCGGGTAGGTTGTAAATCAAGGTTTCCTGCAAAACCCATCCCCTCTCACATGTGGGTTCTAGTCTTAAACACATCAACATATGCAGTTCCTTAGTATCACGAACTCTCAAGTCAAGAAATGATGATACGTTCACCATTTTTTGTTTGGCATCATCATCAATCAAGGAGGCCTTAACTGATTTCCCATGAATGGTCTCCAGAGTCATAAGCTCTCTAAGTCAACACCCTATCATCTACACCAGACGCACAGGATGAAGTATCTCCAAAGAAAAACTCGTTTGAATGTGGATTCCGTGTCAACTACACGTGGTCAGACGCCATGCAAGCCATACTACTCTCCACTCTAATCCTAAGTGTATACTCAAGCCTGGGTAGTGGTCTTATTTCTCATGGAACAATCCGACCCAACAACAGTAGAGCAATATGATAATAGTAATTAAATGCAGCAAATTCAAGTAAAGATGCAATAATATACAATAGATAATGTACACAAAAGCATAAAAATAAACACCCAAAGACTAGAAACACACAAGTGCTAGGATTGACTCGTATAGGGAACCAGAGTCCTTAGTTGTCGCAACTGCGAAAAACATCTGGCGAAAAAATAGAAGAGTCGCCACCAAACATTATTTATCCCAATGGAGGAAAGGAAACGATCAAAGGAAACCTCAAAGAAGGGAGAAGACACGGTCATTGCAACCAAATCCTTCGTTCGGGAGTCTATTACGCGAGAGGAAGGTATTAACACCCCCTCGCATCCGTTGTACTCAACATGATCCATGCTTGTTGTTCTAATCAAAGGGTATGTTATCTAAAGCCTACTGCTAAACGGAAACGAGAGCAAAAAAGAAAAAGAAGATTCAATAGGACTTCGTCGCCCTATGCCTATGTATTCTCTCGTGCAATAGGAAAGTCAGAGTCAACGTAGTTTGAAAAACTACAAGTGAACGAGGGAAGGTTGCTCGCCAAGACATCATTGTCTTGTGCCTACGTATCCTCATCTAGCATAAGAAATCAGAGCAGTCGTAGTTCGGTGCACAAATGGTTAAGTGTTTTTTTATGAGCGACGTTATGTTCCCATTACAGCAATTAAGGTCAATGTCTGTTTGCGGTAGAACGGAAAAATAACGTACTCTTTCTGAAAATGAGTTGACAAACAATCCCGAAGGATGAAATTTATTTTCATTTGTTTGTGAGTTTTAGAGAAGTGAATTAATTTGGTTTGAGATCCACATTGCACTAAAGTCTATGATATAGGAGCGAATGTGTCGCATGATTGCCCCTAGACGGGACGTACGCTAAACACTCTAGATGAAGTAAGGAGAGACTCCTCACTCATCATCTCCCATATACTTAAGGCTCGTGGCGCACAATATTCATCGTATTTATTATGTGTTTTAATGTTGTTTTGAGAGAGAAGAAGAGGGAGACGCACAGAAGGTCTAAGGGGAAACTAGGTCCTAACATTGTCATGCAAAATGGACCTAAGGTTGGGATGTGAGAGGAAATTATATCCTAATGTTAGCATGCAAAAGTGGACCTAAGGTTGAGGTTAAAAGGAACTAACCTAATGTTATCATGCATGGGTTAAATCCTAATGTCTATCCTACTCCAAGCTTAATAAAAAATTAAGTTGGACTAGGAGGCCTTAAGAGAGCATGCAAGAACAAAACAAAACAAGGAAATCAAATAAAAAACAACAACTATAACAGCGTTTCAGCTTTACAATAGATAAGCACAACAACATTTAACAACTCATGTTTCAGCATATAACATGTGTAAAAGGCAGCAGGCATAATGGATGCACAATTAACAACATGCTAAAATCCAGAACAGCAGGTGTAAAAGGTCATGCAACATGTATGCACCAACAATGAAGTAACACATCAAGCAAACAACATTTAACAACTCATGTTTCAGCATATAACATGTGTAAAAGGCAGCAGGCATAATGGATGCACAATTAACAGCATGCTAAAATCCAGAACAGCAGGTGTAAAAGGTCATGCAACATGTATGCATCAATAATGAAGTAACACATCAAGCAAACAATGATCATAAACGAGTTATGAAAGGTTTGGAGCAAAATGACTTAAGTATGATTTAGATTTGAAATTAAATGTGGTTTGGAATGTAGGTTAGTATGAGGAATGGAAATTAGGAGTGGAATTAGGAATGGAAAATGTTTTGAAAATTGGAGGGAATTTGAATTAATTTGTGAGAATGAATAAAATTTCAACCAATTCTAGATCCTTCTATTGATGCACATGGAAATCACATGACCAAAAATGCAATCCTAATGCTGCAGTGCTGAAAAATGAACAATCTGGGAAAATTTCGCTTAGGGTAATCGATTACCACATTCAAAATTTCAAAAATTGGCGCCACAAGGAGGAAAACTTGGAGAATCACCTGTTCCCACTTGTTCTGAGCATAGTTTGGCCTCTAAAACTTTTCATTTGATATTGCGCCTGTATAATGCCTGAAATAAACTGTGAATTGTCTCCTGTGCTCAAAATAACCTGCTGAAAATATACTCCGGTACCCGATTGCTGAGAAAAATAAATGTTGAAGCCTCTATTGCTTACTGCTTAAAAACTTGCAATAAAAGAAACTTTGAGCCATAGAAACAACTTGATCCCATGTCTCAAGAGTCAATGTCATGATATGCACAATGATAATGCAAAAATAAACGAAACATAAGCCAGTTACGGTAAAAAAACGAAAGGGCAAATTTTGGAGTGTAACACTACTCCCTTAGGTCCACCATATTGGAGATCACAAACTTCGGCTAATGGCAGTGTAATATTTCTGATACCTCTAGTTTAAAAAGCATCGTGATCATGACCTTTGATCCACGATATCACATCGACATAGTGAATTGGAAGCTCCGTTCCACCGTAATTTTCATAATCAACACTATTTATGGTTCCGCATCAAAACAAATTCTAATTCCAAAAAAAAATAGGGGTGTCAATACTTCCAAGCCAATCCAAATATTCTCAACCAAATTTGAGTTGAAGAGTGATATTGTGCATTTGGATTGAAGTCCTTAATACAAGAAAATAATTTAGGAATCCATGGTTAGATTCCATGACCCAATGAACCTAACACTTTAGGAATATTTAAGGGAAGAGAATGAGAAGTCATTATAGCACATACCCAATGAGTTTATGCACCATTTATTGTGAGAATTTCAAAAGGGATATAACTTGATCCTCGAGGCACTCATTTTCAAGGGGATTGTATCCTCAGGCTACATAATACATCCATGGACACTAAATTATAAGTTTCAATGTCAACTTGATACTTTTCTTCAGAGGTGGTTGTTGTGACCCTATTCGTTTCGATTACTGGTAAGTTAACCTAAGATATTAGAATGTAGCAACCATTGTTAACTACATCGCCAAAAAGATTGTTAAGTTATAGCATGTGTCGTAATCAATAATGGTGGTTTATTTGATTGAGAATGAAAGCACGAGCAAAGCATGATCACTGCGTATTTGAGTGCAGTGCTTGTGGATAATACATAAAATTGCTAGAGTATTGTTTCTTTCAATTAAAATTTTATTTTTATTAAGATAAACAAATATTTTTTATAATATTTTTTTATTATTAATTAATAATTATGATTGTATCATATTAATTATAATAATTGTAATATTTTAATTGTTTTGATTCATATGTGGCGAGTATTGACAATGGATGGGTAATGAAAATTGATATTTCTCATAGATGCAGAAGTGATAATTAAAATTTTAAAATCTCAATTTAAAACAACTTTAAAATTTGACTTATAACATAATCGAGACTCTAAAACACAAGACTCACCCTATTTCCATACCTTAATTTTTAAAAATACGTTTTTTAAAGAGACCAAAATATTCAATATTAGCAACAATTTAAGATTTTCAACATAAATATTATTATTATAAAATATAATAGCAGATATATTTAATATCTTATATATCTATATGAGTATTTATCAATAATATAAATATTTTCTATGATTAAACATAAAAACAAAAAATTTGTCCTACCTTAGCCTTCCTCTTTAAGTAGAGACCCCACCACTACCCACCAAACACAACTTGCACCAAATAGTGAGCAAAACAAGACACCCCCCAAATTTCACCTCTTTATTTTTCTCTCTCTCACACCTTCATTTTAAGTCAAGTCTTCCCCAACTGACTCTTATCCTAAAATAACCCACAATACTCAAAACCTACCTTTCCAATACTCCTTTCTCAACTATAAGTACCTACCTCAATTATTCAACTTCCCAAAACTCAACACATAAAAAAACCCTCTTCTTTTCTTTTTTTTCTCTCTCTCTCAACTAAACCAAACCATTACCAATTACACACTCAATTAACCTAACTTTTTTTCTTCCATTTCAACATGACTCGCTCACTTAGAACATTACAATCCATTTCTTCCGCCGCACCGCCGCCGGACTCCACCGCTTCATTAGAATCCGACTTCGTCGTCATCCTCGCCGCCCTCCTCTGCGCTCTCATATCCGTCGTCGGCCTCACCGCCATCGCACGATGTGCTTGGCTCCGCCGCGGCCCTGTCACCGGAGCCTCCCCGGCAACAGCCGTCGCAAACAAAGGTCTCAAAAAGAAAGTTCTCAATTCACTTCCGAAATTCACCTACCTCGATGACACTCCCGTAAAATGGATAGTCTCATCGGAGTGCGCCATTTGTCTCTCGGAGTTCACCGCCGGCGAAGAGGTTAAAGTACTTCCCCAGTGCGGTCACGGCTTCCACGTGGCATGTGTAGACACGTGGCTTGGCTCTCACTCGTCGTGTCCTTCTTGCCGAGCTCCTTTCGCCGTCGCTAGATGTCAGAAATGCGGCCTCTACCAACCTACGCCCGCCGGAGAAGCTCCCGGAGAAACAGAGCCGAAAACCACCGGCGACGAGAATGCAGAAGCTGTTGTCAATGTTAACTGTATTAGCGAGGGTGCTGATAGACATAGCCACGGTGTTTATAACGGCTTCTTGCCTTAACTTGTTATATTATATTTTATATATTAATATTAATTTGTATATGTAAATATAAATTTTATATATAATTTTGTTTAGATCTCAGTTTATTTGTTTCTCAGTTGAGTTTATCTCATTATATCAAAATTTTGGACAATTTTTTACCTTTTATTTTACATTATCTTATATCCATTAAATACCTTTTTTCTTTTTGATAGAGACTATTGTTATAATGATATCTCAATCAAAGTCTTTTTTTTACGTTGGGGAATGTTGTTCTTTTACTAGTAATTATTGGCAGCATAGTTCTCTCTATCTCATAAAACTTTTTTTTATTCATACAAGTTAAAAGAAACTATAAATTAAATAATCACAATATTAATAAATTCATCTTATTAAGGATTGATTGATTTTTTTTGTAAAGAAATTAGTAGTTGATTCTCACTTATTTGCAAGTCATAGCACATAAATATTTATTAAATAGTATATTTGAAATAAAATATTAATGTTTTGTTGAACATTGAAAATGACAATTATTTTTATTAATGGAATAATAATTTATCAGTAAAATTAGATATTTTATTTGGTGTTTTGATTTTTAATTGAAAATATTGTGTGCATAAGTTTATAGCAGTGATTGTCACTTTTTTTTTCATACTAGTAAAAAAAATGAAATAACACAAAGTTCTTTCAATTTAGTTGGTGAATAAAATAATACAATTTGTTTTAATTTGCACGTGAATGAGTTAACATGTCTCTTTTAATATAGTAATTCAATTGTGATATTATGTTTATGCTAAATTTAACATAATTGTGATTTTTATGTGGTGATTGTCACTTAATATACAAATTTAAAATAAATAAAAAATTATTGATCACTTAAATTTCTTTTAAGCACGTGAATAAAATAACACGTGTCTTTTAATTTAGTCACATGTCTCAATTATGAGTGTATGTTTATGTTGAACTTAAATTTTATTTTATTATATGATATTAAATTTTGATTAATGAATGTGATGTATCTATGTGTCTCTCAAAATATTTTTTAACTGGTTAGAATAGAAAAACCTTTTCTTAATTCATGCACATTTTTCATATTCATGAAAATGCATTTGAAATTTTATATTTATATATATATATATATATATATATATATATATATATATATATATATATATATATATATATATATATATATATATATATATATATATATATATATATATATATATATATATATATATATATATATATATATATATATATATATATATATATATATATATATATATATATATATATATATATATATATATATATATATATATATATATATATATATATATATATATATATATATATATATATATATATATATATATATATATATATATATATATATATATATATATGAAATAGTCTATTGAATAAATTAAATCAGTTTAGTAAAAATGTCAATTCAAATACTTATATATATTTTCTAATATTTTAGGCTATAACTCTGGTTGATTGTTTAAAATTGTCTAAAATTTGTCATTTTTGAAATGTAATTTTGAGAGTTAACTCAAAACACCTTTGTTAAGAAAATATTTTATTTACCTACTTATTTGAATCATAGGGTGTTTTATCAAATTTTAAATATATTTGGAGTGTTTACTATTTCTTCTATAAAAATAATATTTTTTCGTTTATTGTATCTCTAAATGTTCTTTTTTAAAAGTCTCAATTTATCACAAAGTTACATGAAAAAGCAATATATTTGAAAATATGTTATGAACTTATAATTTTTTTTCATACACATATATAAGTCATACTTTTAAAAAAAATAAAGAAAACATTTTTTAGTAAATATTTGGATTTTTCTCAAATCTAAACTGGAAGCAAAAATCACATAATTTTGATATTCTATAGTTTTTTTATTACATAATTACTTGTTTCAATGTAACTTTGTTAGACATAATTGAACTTATTGTCAAATAGTTTTTTATTACATAATTACTAGTTACATACTGTTGCAGAAATGTAGAAAAATTACAAACTTTTGTTCATATTCATGAAAACTATTATACTAGTCGTTATTATTCTAATACTTTAACTTTTTATGACGAGGTTTAAATTCATTTGAAGAATTTTATGATGAAGTAAAACGGAAACTAAAAAGTTTGGATTCAAAAGAAAAAATATTTTATCTTTAAAATTAAAATTTTAAAATTAAAAGAAGAAACAACACATGTTCTTCTAGCTTCTCCTCATGTAAAACATAAAATATCAATCGTTGAATCTCAAATTATTGATAGTTAGATTATACTAATGGTTAAAGTTGTACAAAATTTTAAGGAAACTATCTTCTAAATTTTAAATTGGTATGATTTTCAAATGAAAGCATAAAACATGAAAATGCGAAGAAAAAAATTTTAAAAAATGAAAAGAAGTATCATACTTTTCAAATATTTGTCATTATTATTGTAAAGTGGAACATAAAATTTAAAAGAGGGAATCATAATTAGAAACTATAAAGAAATATCATACTTTTCATATATTTGTCATACTTTTTAAACATGAAAATCAGAAATATTTAGGTTTAAAGGGTAGAATGATATGGTTACAAAAGAAGGAACCATAACTACTAATTATAAAGAATTTAATGATATTGAGGAGGACTTGTTGATCGAGATTTCGACACTCCTTAATGTTGAAAGTAAGTTACGAGATTTCAAGGTCATATCCTGAAGAAGAATGTGATGAATTCAACAACAAACAGTGATAAGGATGTTTCAACGACAATGGAGATTAAAAATGGGTTGCTGAAGTTTGAAGAATCGTTTTTTAAAGAAACAAAGAACGTTTCGACAAGGAAATGGTGAAGATCTAGTCGAAGAAATATTTGCATAGAAGGTGCTATAATCTAAGACTTAGAAAGATTTTTTCCTAGATAGGAGTTCGACAGCGTCCATTGGAAGGAGCGCTTCGACGAATGGAGTTATGAGGCTGATAACTACCTCTTGGCCTTATCCATTTTCTTAAGACACTGGAGGATTTTGAGGCGACGAAGTGCATGGAGTAAGAAACATGGCGCATTCTGGAGAAATAACTGTCAGATGACAATTATTTTTTATTTAGTATAAATAGAATATTTAGCATTTAGAATTTGAGTGTTCAACAATTGTACAAAACTCTACATTTTACTCCCAGTACCTGTGTGTGAGAAAAGAGTGTTTTTGAGAGAATGTACGTTTGAATACCTTTCTTTACAATCAAATTCATTTAAATTCCAGTCATTTATCCTTACTTGAAATTTATTTACTTGTCATTTATCTTCAAGTAATCTATCTTTCTGCAACCTACATTTCTTCTCTCACTTAAAAGAAATCACAATGTTCTCTTAATAACTATAGAGAATATTTGAAGAATATTGTATAAATGTTCATAACCATAATAAATGTTCATAACCATTAAAACCAATAAATAAATAACAACACATGTCCTAGGATCAATCTAGTCGATCCTGTAAGTGACCAAAGACTTAGTAACTTTGGAGGACTAGCGGTTGTTTGCCATTTTCGACGGTATACAAATTGGCACGCCCAGTAGGACTGGTATTGTTAGTTAGAATTTGTAGAGATATTTAGAAAGTTCTTCATTTTTGGTTTTTTGTAGTTTCGTCGAATGAGATTAAGAAGTGGTAAAGTAACCACTAATAACAAAGTAATACTAAGAAGGAGACGTGTACTTGTAACAATGGCGAATCAGCCAAGTAGTAATGACCCACCCCTCCTTCGACGGGGGAAACGACGGCCACAGTGTCTGTGACTGAAGTGTTTCCATCCACAACAAGTACGACGACAATAACGTCAAATGCTTATAGTGGACCTGTCTTGTCCCTTATGAGAACCCAGGGGAAACCATTAACTCCTCCTCCAGTGGGCACTGGTTCGTTTAGGTATTTTGTGTCTGGATTTACAATGCCCTTAAATGGTAGAGAACAACCATATGGTATGCCAACTTTAATGATGGATAATTTACATAATGCAATTGCAACGTTCGATTACCTAGTGGTGAATACGTTTTTGCCAGTGCAGGGTTCGGATTCTGCTGTAAACAATATGGGTTGAAATAACTTACCCCCAGGGGTTGGATTTTCTATCCAAATGCCCAATTTTACTATGAATTATGTAGCAGTGTTGAGACAAAAAATGGACGAAAGTAATCGTGCCATGGTTCATATGTTGGCCCAACAAATGGGCAATATATTTAATCCGTTAATTTAAAACACCACTCAAACAAATTAGCAATTGATAGCACATATGACTAGAATTGCAGATTTTTTTGGAGTTCCACAAGCCCCTCAACATATTCGAAGGGATGTGATAGTCGAAAACCACTGGGAAATCCTTGAAGAAGACCCCACTATTAACCAAGTCCAGCAAAATAGACCCCGTGACGAGGTGAATGATCAAGGGGTTACGCTCGAACCTCCTAGGGTCGAACAACCAATTCCAAGGGAGCAAGAGCAAAGGGTGGTGATAGTTAATAGGAAACAAAATGTTGATGATGTCATACATCAAGTTCAAAATGATGGTATGGTTAGGAATAATAATTTGGCTACCATGGTCGAAAGGATTATGGCGCAAAATGGGGTAAATATTGGCATTCATAGGACAAATTATATTTCCCCATTATCTGATTATATTATGCAAACTCCTTTGCCCAGGGGATTGAAAGTCACAAAATTTATAAAGTTTTCAAGAGATGCTAGTGAGTCAATCGTCGAACATGTGGCGAGATACCTAACTAAGGCAGGAGATCTTGCCAATGATGAAAACTTAAGAATTAAGTATTTTCCTAGTTCACTAACTAAAAAGACTTTCACATGGTTCCTAAACTCCCAACGGGTTCGATCCATGATTGGACTCATTTAGAAAGATTGTTCCATGAGCAGTTCTACATGGGGCAGTCGAAGATCAGCCTTAAAGAGTTGGCTAGCATTAAGCGTAAATTCTCTGAGTCAATCGACGAATACCTTA